TTAGCACACGGAAAAACACTGTTCATTTAGCCAATGGTTATGATGTTACAATTGTTAAACCAGAGCATAAGTACCTTCTGAACATACGCTAAATGGTTAGATTTAGAGGATCTGCTTAGTTGATTGAAGCAAGAGTGCATCCACTCTGGAACACTGTGTACAGCACAAATATAACAGACAGGAAGTTTTACTCATTGAGGTTTGATACCACATGGCCGCTTCTCCTTCCTCCTGTAGCACACACGGAACATCACCCACACTACTCACACATCGTGACAGAAAACTCTTACTTTGAATGTCAAACTTTTTAAGATACACACAACATAACCACAATTGTTTTTGTCAAAAATGAGTGATCGAGGCTGCACATCGTCTACTGTATGCAATCCTCCCACACATCTGTGTTCAACTTTGTGGCACAATTGATCAAACTTCATCACATTTCTTAAGTTTGCTACTGTCACCAATTAAAAAATGGCATTGGAGGATGTGTCAAAACAACTCTTTTTAACATAATGGAAATCCTTTACTGGTGAGCAGGATCAGTGAATCAGTGGAAAAACATGCTCTTTCCTCCCCCTCACAACATATTACCCCTAGCTTGAAACGAAACACTATAGACAAGCATGTCCGGTATTTTATAGCAATGCAGAGAACAACAACTGCCAAGCAGGTACAACCGAAGCAAGTAGTGACAGGTGGGCCCGTGGAATGATTCAAATCCACCCCCAGCAGAAAATGAATCGCAATCTTTGACCTATCCTGGTGGCAGCTCATCCTCTGGGCTCAGAACAGAGTGGCAGGTGAGTGTCCGTGGCCATCATGAGCTGTGACAGCTCAGATTAGCAGGTCATGCCAATCTTCATTTCATTCCAGAGCATATGTCAAGATGAGGCTTGTTTCCCCTGGGCTGTACAGGCGTCTTTCCCTTCCCCTGGTCTGACCTGCCTCCCTGTTTGTCACATCTAGCATTCTTACTCACTCTTCGTCTGTCTGTTCATTCATTTGTCTGTCATCCTCCATCAGTCTCCTTTTAGTCCGCTTCACCAAAACGCCCCTCAACGCTCTGATATTTAGTCATCTATCCAGGCTATTATGCTTACCTTAGTATCCATCCTGTGAGGTGCCCAGGTCCAGAGATTTATCCACAGTCTCAATTTATCATTCACGATGCTTTCCTCTGTATGTCACTCCTGAAAGGCTGATGGGGTAACTGCAACCACACCCATGTGCTCACCATCACTACTTCCTCATCCAATTGTCTGAACTCTGTTTCAGTCTTTTAGCCTCTCGCTCACCCACTCTTACTCATGACATGGCCTCAGCCTTCTTGTTCTTTTGCTTCCAGTTTTTCACTCTTGCTCACTCTGCTATTATCGCTGTCTGCAGCCACCTCTCAGCATGTGGCTTGTCTTGCTGCTGTACTTCTGTATTCCCTACACCATATTGTCTATTATTGTACCTGTGTGTTTGCCTCTGTCATCCTAGCTAGTGTCTTCCTCCATGTTTATACAATCTGTCTGTCACACGCCCAGGTTGCTGTCTCACAAACAAGAAATGAATGACCCTGTTTATATATTTACAGTACATATAGGTGGACATTTTAATCACATGGCTTTCTTTTATTGGTGAAGAATGTTATTAAAATCCTCCCCTGAGCACTCTGAGAGGGTGCTCTGAAATATGTGTGGCTGTTTGGTGCTATATATTATATATTACTTAAAATACTTAATTATTAATTACCAATCAAATACCAACCTTTTCAGCAAGCATCTAAAGAAGCAATTCTGTTTCTTGAGCACATTTAAAAACTACCAAGAACTCTAACTCTATTGTATATTATTTATAAAAAGTCTATACGGACAGCTAACTACATATGACCACAGAAAATGATCCGTTATTAATGAATTGCAATTAAGCGGTAACATTTCCAACCTGTTAAATCCCTGTTTTTTTTTTCTTCAGATTTTTCAACTATTGCTATAAGGCTGCAGGATTGGTGTGAGTGATTGTGGCCCAACAGCATTACCGAAATGAACAGCACAAACCTACACTGTTTCAGCTGACAAAGCCTGCAATTCATCCACACTAGCAGAGGACAGTCTTTGTCCAGAGTGCTGGGGAGGCTTTTGGATCTGCTTGTCCTCTGTCACATTTCTATGGTTTCGCTAAAGAAAAGTTAACACTTTATAATAAGCATCTTTAATACAGTATGCATTGTGACCCTCCTTGGTATAATAACATCTTATGCCTCCAGCCATCCATATTATGATATGTACCCCAGTTATAAGTCACCAATCACAATCTGTATGTACACAAATATTATTATAGGAGCATACATTTGTTTATAAATGTAATTTGCGCCCTTATCAATTTGTTTGTTGTTTTTATTGTTTACCTGACTACAGGATTTAGTTCTGCATTTTATTTTTCCACATCAGACAATATTTATTTTGTGTATGAATGTAGGTTTACATATATGTGTAGACATTTGAAAATACATTTCTGACATACTGTAGGTACATATATTGGGGTCTTTCAAAAGCAGAAACCTGTCTACGTAAATAGTGGTCACAATATATAAAGTGATTTATGAATGTAAACATTTTTAAAATGTATTTGTACAGTATGTTAAATGGGACTACAAATTGGTATATATTTTCTTTTGTTATATATACTAAAGACTTAATGTATTTCTGGATTTGAACATTGTTTAATAAAAAAACCTATTTGATCTTAAATAAAGACAAATGTGTTTTTTAAGTGTGCAGTGCTTTAATAAGTGACTTAACTTCCTGTTGTTTTGCTTACGATCTCTCTAGGACATTGGGCTCTATAAACAAATGTACTTTTCTGTGGTAAATTTTTATTTTGACTTGACTTTTTCATGTGGTCTTTAGTTTCAATATGCCTTCATGGCAAGTGGCCCCGATGTCAGATGGTCACAGGGGTCCCTCCCATCACAATCAAAATAGCATAACATCAGTGGAAAATGAAAGAAGTGAAAGCTTGCAGCAAAAATGCACTGCACAGTTGACACCTAAACTAAATGAAACCAGACAGCATTCCTGACCTAAACGGTTACATGACCAAAACTGTGTTAGAGCACTATAAGAGATACAACATAGCACATGTTAACACATGACCAATGATGGCGCACCTTCAAGCATGTGAAAACATGATCCTATTAGTGACAGCACACCATCACACACACATGAAAAAAGATGATGATCAATCACTGTGTACGATATTGACATGACAAAATGTTTCATGTCTGCTCATAGGCATTATAAACACAAGTGAGTGGATTGATTACAAGTCAAATAATAAATAAGTTTTACTTACATATAGGCGCACTATCCAGAGCAGTTCTTGTGCTGTTTTTACTTTTCAGATGCTGTCTGTTAAACACCCACAGAATGACAGGAGTTCCATGGGAAATGCCGAGGTTATGTCATTTTGTAAATATCGTATAACTCTTGCTCTGTTGCAGTGCACATTCTTTCAGGCTGTAGAATTTTGAATGTCCGGGGGTACGTAATGTTACTCGCCCTCACATCACCGCGGTGGATGTCATGATGCTGTTGCTAGCAGCAGGTGTCCCCTTTGGCTCTTCTTGCTCACAGCTCGTGCTTGCTGCTATCCTGTCTTTCTTTTTAAGGAAAATTAATATTTTTGGTGACTTTGTTGCTCAGCTGCTTCTGAAACAACTTATGTGTTTGTACTGCATTTCGTGTTAATTTCCCAGTTGCTGTCACTTCACCTGCCAGCTCCTTGCACATCTTTAACATACAATCCCATAAATTCATTCTTATTTGAACTTAATTTAGATGAACTTACTGAAGAGTTATGTGGCAATGGAGTGTTTGTATGTAAAAGTATTATGTTATTGCATTGTCATTGAATATGAATGACATCAAGTGTGAGGCAGAGACACCGTGAAGTACGAGGCTTAACTCACTAACTACTATAAATACCTACTGCGACAAAAAAAAGTTGGTCGTATACAATATAAGATTACATTATCAGACTACTACTTAGGATTACTTAGGTAAATTAAAATTAATAAGAGCCTCTATGCAACTGCATTCCCTACATATATGGTAGTTACTCCGCTGCCTACATATCTACCCTCATCAAAATGAACAATTAATTGTGTTTTTACTTCTAGTTATCTTTCATGGACTACTCTTATGCAGTTGTATTATTTCATCTGAACTGAAGGGAAAACTACATCATCATTACTAACAAGAGAGCACAGCCACAAAGTGAATCATAATAACTGCCAGTAAAATCATGTACTAATTTGTAAAACCTGTGGTTGTTTTTGATTTGATTTCTGTTTAGTTCAAATTGAAAAATCTGAATAATGACAATAACTGGGTTTCTAGACATTTGAGTTCAATTTCACTTTGGTCCCCATTGGAAGCACAACCTATTAAAGTGATTTGGAGTGTTATTAAGTCTCATATTAGTTTTTCCTAAACAAACAAACAAACAAAAATTCAGGGGAGGAGTAAAAACTATGTGAAAACACATCTACAGCTGAGGTAATTATTGTCATTAGTTTCTCTTTTGACTTAATTGTGCACTTGTGCAGCCTGCATGTTGAGCTCCCTTGAGATTCTTCTGAACACATCATATTAAAAATATAAAAATGTTCATGAGGCAAGAGAGGAAAAATAGAAGCTGACGTACAGTATTGAGCTGTCAAGCCTTCAGTTTAGCACCGTTCGTTCCTGAGCTGAAATGATGCATCATGAACAGCCTTTGGTATGAACACAGCAGTCAGCTTGACAGGAACTTAAACAATTGTTCAGTAATGAGACAAACATACCTTGACAGCTCATAATGGAGAACAGAAGGCCTAATTGAGGGAACACAGCTCAGTGAAACACTGAGATTTATCTCCAGGCAGTCAGGCCCCATTGAGGAAACATCATTTTGTAGATTGGACAAATGTGTGGACAATAACAACCTCACCTCTCACATACTGTAAGTAAATATTTCCATAGATATAATGATTTTATTTACAGTAACAACACATTACTGTGAATATACAGTAAATGAAAATTATACACCTCTGTCTTTACATGTGTCTCACTGGACTATACATGTGTCATCTGTACTGACTGCGTTATGTGTGAGATTGTGTACTATGAGACTGATGTTGCTATGTGACAAATATTGCTTGAGGGAAAAGCAGAAGCAGGAAACAGGAACGTGGTGCAAGCATAACTTCTCTGTGTACAGATATAATAACAGCCCAGTGACTATTTGCACACAAACAAGGCAACAAAAAGCTAAAACAAAATGAGATCTTCAGGGTTTCTGATCTCTGCAGAGTAAACATTAAATAATGAAGTTAAACAATTTCATATATCACACAAACTCTGTTATAATACAGGAAGACACCTTATATTGTAATCTATATGTAAAGCCTCAGTTGTAGGTGTTTAGTGCTAATTAGCAACAGTTAGCATGTTAACAGGCTAAACTAAAATGGTGAAACAGTTACACCTTATATCTGATAAACATCACAATGTTAGCATTGCCACTGAGAGCATGTTAGCATGCTGATGTTAGCATGAAGCTCAAGGAACTGCTGTGCTTAAGTACAGCTCCACAGAGATGCTGCATGGCAGTAGACTCTTTTAGACTGTTGGTTTTGTTGGTTTTACCATTTGTATAATTTGAATTAGATGTCTTGTCCAAAGCAGGAACATATGCTCCCAGAGTCCTATGTTCCCCATCTCAATATCCTTTTGAAAAGTCAATATGTTGAAATCAACCACTTACAGCCTATACAGCCTACTGATATTATAATTCTTGAAACATATGCCCTCAAATTTGCAGGCAAGATAGTTTTTTTGACTTTAGACCGATATATCCACCGTGGCAGAACAGATTTTTACCATTTGAAATTTCCATGTCCCTTAAATTCTTCTGCAATTTGAACTGTGAAGTTAGCCCGTACCAATCTCTTACAGTTTATACCAAGAGACACACATGCTAATAGGACCCTGGAAGCATAGGATCCTGATCCCGTGCAAAGCAACTTTGATTTTGAAAAGTGCTCTATAAATAAAAGTTTTATTATTTTATAGGCTGTGGAGTAAAGTGACCAGTTTTTTCTTGAACTACAATTTGGTACAAAATTGAAAAGGGAAAAAAGAGGAGAGTTTTTTGTAGCCGTAGCCACAGTCACCGCTTAGTCTTACCCTCTCTGACAGTCTCTATCTCTCTTTGATTGTCCACCCTCAGTGAGACAAATTCCCTGCATGGTTTCTCTCTCTCACTGATGCTGTGAGCTAAACTTCAATCCCAGAGAAAACAGGATTACAGTTTGGCCCTAGATATGGCTTTACCTCCTGAAGACATAACCATGCTAAATACCACCCAGTACTATCCCATTTGTAGGGATTCCCACAGACTAACCATGAGGTTTGAAACTCAGACAGGGGAGGGACGGGCTACTGTTGTCAGGTTCTCATCTGGATAAATGTTGGAAAATGTTGACATTGGATGGGTCAAAAAGGATGATGTCTGCTTGGGTGGCACCATGACTCTGAACTGCTTCCGCCTCACCGCCAACCAGCGGTGTCAGTGCATTTTTATCTCTAACTGACTGATTCATGTCTCCCTGCAGGACAAAGCGGGAGTTGGGGGTTGGGGGTGGGGGGGCATGACTTGGCTCCAAGAAAGAGAGTAAAGTTGAAAGATGAAAGCGAGGTCAAGGGAGGAGGTGGATAGAGTAAGATCACAGAGGGTGAAGAAAATAAACAGGTGTATAAACTGTCCGTGAATAGCAGTAGTATCATTCTTGATTGAGGTTATTGAGGCTTTCAAATTATTTTTTTTCATATCAGTCTGCCATTGTACCTTGCTACTGTTCAGCTTGTTTAGTTTTCTCTAGGTCCACTCAGTGCTTTGAAAGTGAAATACTGTATTATATAACATTTACAAGAATTCCAGCTCTACCACGGTGACTTATGAGATACCATTCAAAAAGAATAAATTAAATAGCACTGTAGTCAATATCTGCTGTACAATTATGTACTCAATGACTACTGTTGACCATAGCGTATCTGTTTGAGCTGACCACTTCTAAACTAATTCTCCTCGTAGTTCGAAGGGAAGATCAGAATCCCTCTGCAGTTGTCGAACATCCATGGTCTCCTTCACTCTCTCAGTACCACGCTGAAAAAAAAGTTGCAACTCAGTTACCATTACATACAAAATGAAGCGACAACATATTATTTACCTTTATAAAGTATTTATTTTTCAACTCTATTGTGATATCAACAAATGTAAACTACGTATCAAATAGGTGGTCCGATAGGTTGGGGTTTTGTTTACAGACCTGAGGGTAGGTTGATGATCTCCACTCATTCCTTTGAGGGAGGAATCTGTGGTCAAACAAGGGTGGAGGGGAAGGAAGAGAGGAAAACAGGATGTCTTGGTACAGGCCCCCGTCTCTTACATCTTCATACAAATGGCTGTGGCAGTCCACGGGCGGGCGGGTGACATCTTGAAGATGGAAATATAAATATGCAAAACATAAATATGGACAAATACATTTACAATCTTTCAAATTCAAGATACTTGAATAATTGCCAGTGGCAAACGTAAATTTTTTAAAAAAATACTCCAGTTGGCCCAAGTTGTTTACCAGATGTAGCTCCTGCTTGCATCCTTTTTTAGACATTAAGTTTTTATTGTTGCCTTGTTTACTCTGAGCTATATTTGTGTCTCACCAAGCTTGCGTGTTTCCTCAGTGTGTGGACTGAGAGGCGGGATGTAGTCACCGGTGGGGTAATAATAATGGGAGCTTTCCTGCAATGAATGGAACAGAAGAGATAGCATCAGGTCAAATTTGACCTTAAGTAACTTCCGGTAAATGACAATTCTACATGTGTTATTCAACGTTAGTGCAGAGGGGGGCTGTAGTAAGTTCTTGGAGAGTCGTTTCACCCAAATTATTTTGCTCACTTATTTTCTCACTAGAAGAACCATGCAGATATGTTTGGTTTTATTTGCTTTGCTCCAAGATGAGATCTCCAAGATGTTTAGGGCAGATTACTGCCTCCTCTTCAGTGCAAAGGTGGTGAATAGACTTACTGTGAACAGTTTTAATTGTAACCACCGAAGAAGACAGAAGATATTGTCCCTATGAAAATGGTTGACAGTGAAGTCTGTGGAATTCCCAGAGTAATGCTGAGAAAACCATCGCTGTAGCATTGGGTTGTAGGCAGAAATCTAAGGGGCCAAGAAAACCAAAATGATCTGCACACAAGGCTAGATACCACTGCAGCTAAGTGAGAAAGTGTATCTTTTTGGTAATTTGGCTGAACCAACCCTTACAGTACCTTCTTAAATTAGGGGAGAGATAAAGCCTGGGACTTGGGGTTTCATTATACCCCATCCTTACAACACAATGCATTCTGTTTCCTTCTACCTCACTCAACAGTTTTCTTCAAGGTTCAAATCCTTGTTGGCCCTTTTAAAGTACAGAATGATAATTTCTCTGAGATCGATGTGTATTTTGAATGCTAATTGTGAGGTATTGATCCATGCTCCACCTCCATGCAGAGCAAACTGTTTCATTAGTTTATCTATCCATTTTCCATCTTATGGCTGAATTCTCCACTTCCTCTTCTGCCAGTTCCTTTCACCCCCTGCCTAACATCTGTTTACTAAGCCTTCTCTGTGTTTCTGCATGTTCTCTCCCTAGCCCTGTTCTCTTTTCTACTCATCAAGCTCTTTCGTCCTCCTCTCTCCCGTTCTTACCGGCACATAGCTCTCGTAGACGTTGCTGTCAGTTTCAGATCCAGAGTCGATGAGGAGGGTGTGCTGGGCTGCAGTGTTGATCTTTTCTCTGCTCTCATACTTATTGGAGTTGCTTACAGTTGACTGACTGGACCTGGATGGAGAAATCACGTCCTGTAATCTACTTTTACTTTTGTGATTTATTTCCCAATAACTCTTAATCTACAATATGAATTTGAGAGACACTCGAAACCTTTTTTCCTACATACACACCTACAAGTTGTTAATTACAACATATCATGTGGCACATACTGTATGTTGCAGTATTGTGGTGCAGATTTGATGACACTAATATAAATGGATATTGACCGCTTTTTTTGCCTGCCTGGCTTTTTTAGTAGCTGGGTCAGCCAATGGATCAGGTCTTAGACTTCTTAAAGTGGATTGGATGTGTGTCTCTTTATTACTTCTACTGCAGGGCCTTAACTTACCCCTCCTCTTCATTCTTCTTTCCATCCAACGCACTGCCTCCTCTACCCCCTGCAGGGGGAATGGGAACAGGAGAAAAGAGGCTTAGTTTTAGGAAATTAGAACTTGAAGGGAGGAGCATCGTCTCAGAGCAATAATAGGGCGAAAGAGTGAGAGTGAATGAAAGACAAGTAAGCTGTGAAAATCTACGTAAAAACCAGAGGGCAGAGGAAGGTGAGGAATGAAAAATAAGAGATAGAGAGGTGAGAACCTGAGAGTTAGACTGAAGAACAAATAGAAAGAGACAGAAGGAGAGACAGAGGAAGAACATAACGCTAGCAAATGAGATAAAATATATGGTTGGAACACAGAAGTGACAGCTTTGAAGGATGAATGTGGCAGGAGGTGGAGGCTTAGAGAATGAGCACAAGAAGAGGAGACAGATAGACAGATAGACAGAGGGACATGGGGAGATGAGAAGAGAGTGAGAGGCTGAGCTGACAATTGCATCATGGTTTGGAGTAATCTTTTTAGAGTTTTGTTGAGGAATCAGGACATCGTAATAACAGATAGTGACGGAGGAAATGCTTTCATATCCGCAGATGAAAAGAGCATTATGGTTACCTGTCTGGCCTCGCCTCTTTTTCCACCTCAATCCAAAGAAGCAGCCCAGTGAATTACATACCAGCATGACTCCGAACACCACTGTGGACACTACTGTCAAATAGGCAGACAGTCCACCTGCACCTAGTTCACAATACATTAGAAACATTAGCTCAGTGCATAGCAATGAAAGTTAAATAGGAAGTAATATGGAAATTCAGAAAGATAAAAACTGACCGAGACAGCCACTCTCTCAATTGTCTTTATTGATTAAAGACTAGCAGAGGGGGAAAAGTATGGGTGGGTGCCATGACAACCGCTAACTCTCATAGAGCAAACATTAACAGCCTTGGAGGTGCATACATTAACATGATTTAGCCAAATGAAGCTAGCTGCTGTGCAAACAGCAATTTCCAACTGCCCTTAAGAGCTTTTCAGGGTGTTGTGATAAAAGGCTTACTCCGTGAGACTGAGTCATCATCTGCTGGGTCTTCTTCTAACTCTGGCTCCTCTGTAGAGAAAGAAAGAAAATAACATCAAACCTACATGCCACACTTGTAAGCATAATAAGCCTATGTTACATTTATTATAGCTTCATCAGATGGTTGTGTGTGTCTTTTCAGTGTCAAACTGGGGTTACTCCAAACTGACCCTTGGTGGTGATGGTCAGTACTGCATTGTTGTCAGCATAGCCACTCTCTCCCATTGCATTGAGGGCATTGACGGAGAAGTTGTAGGTGGTGACAGGCTGCAAGCCAGTGACAGTGAAGGTCGTTGCTCTGGGAGGAAAGACGTCCACGTACAGGAAACTGGCTGATTGATCCCAACGATATCTGTCAACCAAAAAGCACTGTCAAGTACAAGTCTATGGTTATGAAAGGGTGTCACTCTTAAACCAACATCTGTTCTTGACGTCTCACCTTATACGAAATTTTTGCTGCAAACCCCCATCAAACCCAGGGATCCACTCCAGAGTGACTGAGTCATGGGTGACCGTGACTTGGCGAAATGATAAAGGGGGATCTGGATGACCTGGGGGCGAAAGAAAATATGAAATGTGGGAAATACAAAATGTGCTCTTGATTTTGTGAGAATACAGGCAAAGAGCAGAACACCTTCACTCAACAGGTGGCTATTTGAAAAGGCTTTAGGTACTATGAAATGGAGATGTGTGCCATGAGATAGTTAAGTGATTATCTGCAGACTCAAATAAAGCACGAGGAGGCCCTGCTGGCCTATAGAATCGTGTCTCCCTCTCTGCTTTGGAGTGGTTATAAATACACAAAATGATATTAGTTTGGTCTTGGTAGAAATAGAAGAGGAACACAAGTGGTTTGAGATAATCTCACTTTTCCCATTTCCCACTGTTAATCATACATCTGTGTTTGAAAACACAATTATTCTTACAACATATCAGAAATACCTGTACTAACTGTTTAAATCAGAGCAAATGTTTTATTGTTGGACTGATTTCAGGCTGACACTTATTTTAGTCATACAGTATTTTTAGTCTGGAAGATTTAATGCGGAAAATTGATAATTATGATAAATAAATAGAATAAAGTGTAAATAAAATGAAATTAGGGAGGAGAAATGATCACCATGGTCAAAACGTGTCAGTGAGCCTTTTTCAGTTTATCTCTTCTTAATCACACTTTATTCAAGCACACTTTTTGACAGCAACAGCTTTGCATTTTTTAACAGTGCACTCCTTATGTGCATTATCCTAAGGTTGTACTTTGTTGTATGAATGATCAGGAAACATGGGCAGTGCTATGGCTGATTCCTCTCAAAACAAAGTTGTCCAATTTATCCAACCAAAGTCATGCAACGATTATAGGACGCCTCTTTATTATTATCAATATTGTGAACAAAGATCAAAGGAGGCTAACCAGGCCTTCAGTCTGACATGAGGCACTGCTTCAGTCAGGGATGTGAAGGGAAAGTGGATTATTTAGCATTTTGAGCATGGAGGAGAAAAGGAAGGGTGGTTTTGGGGGCAGAGGGAGAGATAGTCAAGGAGAGAAGGAGGAGAGATAGTTGAGCAACCTAAGAAGGGGATGCTGTACTCGGCTCCAGGCTGCAGCCCAGTTTGCAGAGTAAATAATTCCCACTATCAGCTCCACTCATAAGATTCCAGGGCAAAGAGGTCAGCCTTATTTGGATCTCGTCTCCTTCAAATCCAAAAAGCACCAAGCTAAGAAAAAAAAAAAACTCTCGTCCTCTCGGGCTCTAAAATGATAAGGAAGCATATAAAATTTATTATCACTGCGTCAGATTAATTATGAATATTCACAGCACTAAAAAAACAACTGGAGAAAAACAGGGGCAGTCTTGGATTGTATTTTATGGTTTTTATAGTAAACATTAAATGTGTCCAATGATGGCTGTGGGCCTTTGCTGAGAGCAGGACTGTGTTGATAATGGTGGCGGTGCAAGGATACACTGGTAGCTTGAAGGCAGAAAAGTCTGAACACGCAGCATTATCTGAAGGAGAAGTGAAGTAGTGCTATGGGCTAAATGATAAGGTAGAGATAATGCAAAAGAATAAGTTCCTTAAAGGGCTGACACTCTACAGCCCTACTACAGAATTTTGCATGTTCAATGGCCCTCCCACACTATTGTAATGTTGCTGGAAAAGGCTGATAAAACTTGGACAAAGCAGCACAGACACAATTATTTTGAGATGCTGCCAAATTAGAACCAAAGGAAAAATTTGCTGCTCCGCTGCCAAGTACGTGATATGCATAATCCCAAAATGTTGTGTGCCCTAACCACTGACTTTGATCCTATGCCATTTGTTTAAAGCTGCATTAGGTGATTTTTGACCGCTAGGGAGCAGAAAGACTCAATAAACAAAAAAAACGGTAACACAGGCCTAACGTACAATACTGTATAAGTTTAAGGTGTTGCTTTAGCAAACAGTTCCTTACACATCGAGCAGACACAGAGGCAAAGGCTAGTGAATTTCCCATACACTCTACACTCTATAGTCCTATAACACTATGAGTCTTAATCTTTGTCTTTTTACCACCGATGCTGGGCTGTTTTCACAATCCACTCCTTTAATTAGGCTCTAGGTTGGTACAGTGTTGGGCAAGTTACTCAGAAATTGTAAAATATTAATAGTTACTTATTACTCCTTAAAAAAGTAATATTATTACTTTACTTATTACTGGGTGATAAAAGTAACTAGTTACGTTACTATATTACTTTCCAGTGTTTCCCACAGAATGACATGGTATTCTAACCATGGATAGGTTTGTGTAGCGGTGTTCATGAGAAAGAGGGAGAGAGAGAGAGCGAGAGTGAGAGAGAGAGCGAGCCAGGAGGTGCTGCACGAATATATGCTCCTCAATACAGCTCCTTAATGAAAAATTATTTTTATAAGATGCCTAGTAAAAATTTGGAAAATCAATATGTGGCGGTCAGTGTTGATAATTATCCAAATTATAGGCTGATCATGGGAAACACAGCTTTCCCTACCACCCCTCTTCACTCCCAAACAAAGCAGTCTCCCGCGACTTTTTAATCATACCCATAACAGCAGTAAGGAGTGTGGTTTTTAAAAAGCATATAGCCTAGGCCTATCGTTTCTTAACGCCACCGGCTGAACTAAAAAAATAAAGCAAGTAAAACCCGACTTTTAAACAGCTGTTTTACTGCACATGTAGTCAGTTTATAAGACCAGTAGGCCTATTTAGCAACGTTATGTTAACGCCACTCTCTCCCGACGAGTCCAAGCATCAGTGACAGCAGCTCCCGGAGTTTCTTTCTGTGAGTTCCACGTTGCTGTGCTGCTTCAGCAGATGCTTCAATAAATCAGATGTAGAAATGTTCGCGGTGGAAAGCTTTTTGCTGGTCGCACAGAGTTTACACTAGATGACAATGTTTGCATCTTATTGTGCTTTCAGACCAAAAGCGAAGCGAGCGTTCGGGGCGGTGAGTTTACATACAAAGTCAATGCAAAGATGCGTAGAGCCGCGATTTCCTCTCGGGCGGCACGAAGCGACGCAAAGGCCTTCGTGTAAGTTGAAAATTTCCAACTCGAGCGAGTTCTAATCGCCTTCTCGCGTTGTGTGTGAACACTTGCAGCGAATGTACACACGCGAGGAAAGCGTCGCAAGGATTAAATTCGCTTTTGGTCTGAAAATACCATTAGACTGTGAAACAATAACGGCAGCAGCTACTTACAGCTCTGGAAAGAACACCCCCCCCCCCCCTCGTTCTACATTCTTCCTTTAGTGTTTGGCTATCAGCGGACTTGATAAAAAAAAAAGTCAGGTGCCGCTGAGCAGCCGCACGTTCGTGGATTTACGTCAAGGATGGTGCGTTGTCTTTTACTATTATTATTGTTTGTTAGTTGTTGTTTTTCTCCTCACCAAGCCCCCCTCTCTGTTCTATTGCAGGTTTCGTTGCTTTCTGCAATTGGTGTTTTCCTCTGCTATTCCCTGTTGTCCCCACCTTCCATCCCCTCCTCTCTTGCAGGTGTTGTCCTTTCTCTGTGCTTTTGTCCAGCCGGTGACAAATCAATACATTATTAAATAAATAATAAAACAGACAAAGGAGTATATTAATACTCTCTTGTTAAAGTAAAATATGTCTGGCACAATATGGTATCCAGCTCATCATACTCTATACCAGGCTGCTGGGCAGGACAGGTTAAAAAAAAACAAAAAAAAACAAAAACAAAAGGATGGTGCGTTCAGTAATGAGTAACGCAGCGTTACTTGCCTTAGTAACTATAGTGATAAAATTGCCGTTTTAGAAAAGTAATTAGTTACACTACTTAGTTACTGGGAAAAGTAATATTATTACATCCCAACACTAGGTTGGTAGCATAATACTGTTGCGTATTTGGTGGAAAGATTGGGGAGAGTGTGTTGATGAGAACTGTAAGAATCAATTATATAGTCTATGTGCAGGCCAGATAACCAAACCAATTAGTAAATTACTAAAGAGTTCATTCTCAGTGGCTTGGTATTAATAGTGACCATTTAATACAACAGAGTCATTTGATTTAATTGGGGAAAACTTTTTATGCAGTTTTTTACACAAGGTTATTGTCTAAGGAAAACCACTTATCTCTGAATTTGGTGATTTGAAACTAAACCAAAGTAGTGAGAAGGATGAAGTGTTCCTTTATGAAAGGAGACAATTCTTCTACATCTGAAGCCAAATAAACCATAAAATCCCATTGAATTATCTGAAAAATGTATTGCTACTATTCGCTGAGTCAGAGTTGTTTTTCTTAGCTCATGAAAAGTTGACATTTTGGAGATACATAGTTTCTCCAGGACATTGAAAAAGGATGTTGTGGAGAGAATCTCAGTCATCCCAAGACACTCACCCATACACACAGAAAACACAAATATACATAGATACAGTACTTGTGCTGACGAGCTGGATGTCTAGCTTGTCTTCCCCAAGTGAGTTGCGAGCAGTGCAGCTGAAGACAGCATAGTCCAGGGCTACGCTCACATTTACTACTCGAACAGTGCTGGTGTGGAAGGAGCCCTCCCTCATGGTACGCATCTCATACCTGCAGCAGGCACGTACGCACACGCGCACACACACCCCCAAACACACACAAAAAGAGATAAATCCTGAGCATGCAGACAGCAGGGATTTTGATGTCCTGCAGATTGCAGTCACCCAATTTCACACATCAAAGAAGCATTAAACAGGTATTTGCATAGTGAAAAAGCAAAGTATAAAATTCACTAAATCTGGATTTATTGGTGAAATAGCAAGATATAGCAAAAGAAAAGTATTCATCAATATGTGACCAAATGCTGACAGTAGCACCAAAGTTAATGGTGAAAAGAATGGTAAGAAAAGCATTTGAAATAGATTATTGCCTACTCTCAGACCTGGGGTTTGCAAAGTCCATGAGTACACCATTTTTCTCCCATGAGAAGTCGACACGAGGGATACCTTCTGCCTGACACACTATCTCAGCTGTAGTGGTGCCATCTCCTCTACTTGCTACCTTACTCCATCGGGATCCTTTCTGAAGCTCTGGTTTGACTACAAAAGATGGGAATGGAGGTTATTCATGCAGAAACCAGACACAATACATGCATTTGTTGGTACAAAAACATCTGCATTTTCCCACAAATAAGGCTCCACATATGTTTTGTCTCCTCTGACACTGAGAATGAATACTACACACTCACATTGCACTACCAGCTGCACATCTACAGTGGCAGGGGGTTCTATGCCATTATTGGCTGTGCACTGGTAAAGACCAGCATGAGCCCGAGTCACATTATGGATGGTCAGAAGGCCAGATTCATCTTCCTGAGTCTCCTCTCCCATCTCCACCTCTTCTTCTCCCTGTGGAAGACAGAGTGAGGGAGAATAAGCGGCAGACAGCAGCTATCCCTCAATACCCACTGTCCTCCTCCTGGGTGAGGGCTGGATTTGGGGGGGGCTGTGCGAGAGTAGGACAGGTTGACAGTGAGGGAGAGTTGAGCAGGAAACCATCAGAGCTTGAGGTGGGGATGTGAAGGGCCATCGGGGGAACAAGCTCTGAGGACAAAGAAAGATAATGCCAAGGGTTGAAGAGCCACAGGGAAAGAGAAAGGGAGGGGCTGTAAAGGTTGAAAGCGGGACACACAGTACTGCCAGGGGGTGGGTTAGACCAGAGAAGGCATCAGTAGATACAGAGACCACGCCACATTGACGAATGTGCCCTTTAGTCACGCAGCAGTAATGAAAGCTATTTTTCTGGATTTGGGCTTAGTGTGGAGCAGGAAGAGGTGGGGTGGAAGGATAGTTAGAGCCAGTGAAATATGGTGCATCTGTGCATTTAGAAAGGCCAGTGATAAACGGTAAGAACGGATAAAATAATAGAAAGGAAGCCAGATAAAGGAAATATAATTCAGGGGATGGCTGTGTTTCTGTGTGTGTTTCTGTGTGTGTGTGTGTGTGTGTTATATGTAAGTGTGTGTGTATCCAAGCTCTTACCAGCAATTTCCAAGAGAACATGCCAGATATAATGGGGTTGGCATCCGCCACACATATCAGGTCTGCTGTTTCCCCCAGGTTCACAAACACAGGGTCTTTCTCTGCCTTGACACTGGGAGCATCTGAGAGTAAAAAAAAGGGACAAGGCAAAGGCAGGACCAAAGGTTAACATGCCAATGTGGGACAAATAATTTGCCAACCCATTAAGCAGGCGTGCTGCATTGTTGTAATTACTCTTACACTTGTTTGCCTTTGAACTTGTTCATAACCGTGTCTTAATTAGCCTCTGTTTTTCAGATACAATGCCATTAACCTCCCTATATGTTGGATGCTTCTGCAACCAAACTGAGTATTTGTCATGTGACCCACAAGGCCCTCCACCGACAGCACATCCCCATATGGACAATGACAGACTGACCAATTGCCCCTCCTCTGATTCCTCATTTCATCAAATCATCTCTCATTCCTGACTGCATTGCTCCTCTTCTTGTCTTTCTTCACCTCTACCTCACAAGCTTTTTATACTTCCCACGGGTGCCATGTACTCGCAAAAATAAGGCCATTAGTGCCTACTTGTCTAAACCTATGTTCACATTTGGAGAACAGTGGTGGGGAACACTAGAGAGACACAGACCTCTGGGTTGGTGTGTTCCACCCATGTTGGCGCGCTAACCAAGACCGACATTGTAAAGTGGGCTACACTGGCACCCATAAAAGCTACTACAATCCTCCATACATAATGAATATCTACAACTGTCAAGCCCAGTCAGATCAGGACGGCAGAATCCATTAGGAGAGTACCATGGGTTTTTGCGAAACAGGCAGACCTACATTTTCAACACTTCCATTATTAAATCATCAGTATCGGGGCAGAGGGCCTGGAGCTCAAGGCTGGCCCCGGGCAGCAGTGGAGGTGCACGGCCATGCGTGCAGGCCTAATTTAATGAGGCATGTTAGCAGAGCAGGAGCTGAAAGTCATTGTTGTTTTTTGGGTGTGTCAGTGTGTGGATGCACTGACGGTTCTGAAACTTAGCGGCTTTGACAAGTTCAAAGACATGCTGTTAGCAGCCTACAGATTCAAATCACATGCAAGAAATATTGTGCTCATTTTCCATATTTAAAAGGAAGAAGGCTGTTCAACAGAGACAGATGATGTGGTTGAAAAGTAGTTTCTGTTTTTTCTCTTCCATCTTTTTTCCCTTTTGTGGTTTGTTGGGTGCTTCCAATAAACTTAGAAACTACTGTTAATAATCAAACTTGCTTCAAAGGTGACACAAAAACAATTATCAAAACACAAAATTACAGTTATGTGCCAAGTAATCTACAGGAACAATTATCCAATTTTTTCTTGTAGTAAGAACTTGAAATGTTTAAATTAGTTATTAATTATTAACGATTAAAATTGTTAAGCCCGATTAATCGCATGTTATGCGTAAAATTGAATAATGAATTCTAAAGTAGTGTATTGCACAATTTTAATTTAAATGTACTGCTATATACACAAAAGTGTAATAACATGTGGTTTGCAAACACTTTAAACAAATAAGGTGCTTTTTACCAGCAGTATTCCCTTTACACAGTAGCAATAAAATATTTCTTGTAAATCTCAACTTAAACATTAATGTAATCAAATCAAATATTAAACCAAAGTTATTTGCCACTGCCAGGGCATTACCTTTTATCTAGCTTGTTAAAACAAGTTACCCTCGGAGTCCAATTTTTTTTTTTTTGAAAAGGTATCAGTACCTTGATCAGGTACCTTGATCAGGTATCTTTTATCAGGGAGCAGCAGAAACAGTCTGTTAAGTAGGGTTGGGACGATGTCTACAAAACTATGGAAAAATATGGAAAAACGATGACAGCGTAGTCTGCCGAAGCCTCCCTCCACTGCTTGTTTGGGTGGGTGATTTGCAGGCTGATCAACATCCCGCCCCTCCACACCAATGGTTTGACTGTATGTGTATTCAGATCCAGTGAGGAAGGGACATTAAAACTAATAATAATAAAATAAAAACTGCGTTAACGTGTGATAAAATAATTGTCAGCGTTAATTAATTAATGTGTTAACGCGATAATAACACGTTTTAATGTGCCCAGCCCTAGTTCAAATGTATTTTGTTTTAATAATCACATAGAATACTGCCTTCAACATAAAACACAAACATGTGTGTGTGTGGGCACAAGAACGCATGTGTCTGCTCATCCGTTCGCTGTGTGCCGATTCTTACAATGAACGTCCAGCCTGATAGAGGTTTGGTTGACACCCTCATCATTTGTACACTCCACAGTGTAAAGTCCGGCATCTTTCTTCGTCACATTCTTGATCATCAGCGACCATTGGAAGCGCGGATCCTTCTCTGTACAAAAACATTAACACACACACACATACACATACACACACATGCGAACCAATAGTAAATTAAGTATTCATTACACGCTCATCAACCGCATGTCCTCTGGCCACTGGTCTCTAAGTGACATCTAATCTTGCATTATTGATTGGCCTGGCAGGATTCCCACATCAAGCCAACAATAGCCTGCGTGAGAGACACCTCCTGTACCACTGCACTCAAAATGTAATGTAATAGGTGGATTTCCACATTCAGGATACAGTCATTTTATGGTGGGGGCTGCATATGATGGAGCTAACAGAGTTAACAGAGAAAGAGAGTGGGTGCAGCAGGGCCCTGATGACACCGGCCTGGAGGAGAAGCCAGGTTTAGAACCGTTGTGTTGTATTCAGGGAGACAGCAATCCTCATTTAGACTGCATACATTAGAGCCATAATGAGAATCACATTTGGCAGGGTCCCATGCTGGCTAACCTGCCATGTTTTATTCAGACCCTGAATGGCAGAGCTGAGTGCTTACTTGCTGGCTCAGCTCAACTAGGACCTGGTTTATAGAGCCATCACACAGCCCTGGATCACCTTTGTCCAGCTTCTTCCCGCGATGCCGCCAAATGCAGGAGACCTCCTCTGGGTTAGCTGAGACCAGCAGCGGGATGGTTGCCATGTCATCCTCCACCACCTGGACCTGCGTTCGCTGCTTGGGGCTGAACTCTGGTGGGTCTGATACAGAAATGGGACACGGATACAGCTACAGTAAGTTGGATTTACACCAAAAATACACAAGGCAGAGGCACAAATACAAACTCCGGCCCACACAATAACAAGAACCAGCAAGAGAGAACACAAAGACACATAAAATATGTTGAGCATGAAGCAGTAAGAGACACTAATGAGAGTCAAACCGGTAGAAAGTTGACATCCCACCAATAATTCCAGATCTAACCAACTTCACATACTTAGACAACGGGGGAGGAAGGCAATGCGGGAGGGAGAGGGACAGGCATTAAAACGACGAGTGACAGTACTGTTGTCCAACTGCAGCTCCACACAAACACAGTGACATTCCTTCATGCTCATACACAGTACCAAGCTTTGAAGAAGTGGCTGGCTGCTGCCTGTGAAATGGCATCAAAGACAAACATGGCCATGCAGCAAAGCAAATGCACAATTAGGACACACTGCCACAGAGCTCAACAGACCCACACATCACAACAAAGGTTTCCAGTAAATAAAAAAATCACACACATACAATACACCGGCAATTTCTGTGCAAAAGTACACCAGTAAAGCAGCTTACATTCGCGCCATCATAGATCATGATTATGCATCGTTTAAGATTCATGCAAATCACATCTCTTGGTCACTAGCCCAGAAGAGAGAAGGAAACAAACAACACAGAGAGAGAAAAAAATGAACAAATAATTCACCCTCTACTTACAGAGCACATGGAGTTTGAAGAATGTGTAAGCCCCCTCCTCTAACACAGGACTGTAGGCCTGGCAAATTACCCTCTGATTGTGGTGCTGTGAGCTTAAATTCAGGGAAAGAGAACTGCGCACTGACACACCGCCAAACTTAGCTGTCGTAGGCGACTGCTCCACTCCCTGGAACCTAGGACAAAAATCCCATTCAGAAAATCCAATCAGCGGGGGAGTTCAAGTTTTCCAAGAAATCATACATATTGCCACATTTAACAAGATAAACATCAGTCATTGAAACTCCCTCTGACACTGAATTAGCCATATACTTTTGCAGGAAAATGCCCCTATCAGCATGTGTCATTGTCTGCCACGGGCCTCTCCACCCACTGCCTTGCCAAACCTGAGTGCGCCCAATCTCCAGAAGATGCTGGCTTTTGGGTTACTGCTTCCAACTTCGCACTCCAGGGTTAGCATCTGACCCCTGCGTAGCTCCTCCTGTTTGGTTGTGATGTTGATACTTACTGCTGGAACTGGAGAGAACCATGGAGTAAATAAGAAAACACAATCTTAACCCACTTACAATATCAATATGAAGAGCATAAACTGATGTAGCTGAAAATCTGTGGTTGGGTTTATAGCAAATCTATTGATCTGATATTGTGCTTTCAGCTGAGTTAGACTGGAATAAAAGGTGTCAGGGTGTGTTTATGTGTTAGAGCTCCAGTTAAACTCACAGTGAACCATGAGCTTAGTGTCTGCAGAGATGGCCTTCTTTGCCTTATTTGTGGAATCACAGCGGTAGGTAGCCATGTTGTCACTTGCTGTCAGGACCAGGACCAGTTCCCGAGCCACACCCCGATCAAAGGAAGTCTGCTTCAGTGCATCAGTCACAGCCTTTCCATTCTAAAACAGGAAGGAAAGATATTACACAGAGAAGGCTAACTGCCCTACACATACAGTACAAACCACACACATACAGACAGACATGCATATGCAGTACACACTAACCTTAAACCAGGTCAGAGTCCCAGTGGGATTTCCTCCAGTGGAGAAGCAGATGAGACGGACTGTTGTTCCTGAACGAAGGGGGACATCTTGAGGAGGAGAATCGAGCCACACCTTTTGAGGGGGGTCTGTTGTGTGTTAAAGGATCAGCAAGAAAAATTTGATCATGGAATTCTTTGACAGTTTTACCTACTTAGTAGTTCAAAATCTGTGAAAACATTTCCTCAAAGACAAATATGACAAAGCCAGCCTGGAAATAGTCACTCATTATGTGTCAAGGATTATATTTGTCAAGAGCTGTGCTTGCTTTTTGTGTTTCTTGGCATTCTGAGTTGTAATTACAATTCACCCTTCCTGAACCATGATGGATGTGTTTTTGATAAGACAGAAAAAAAAGATACCAAATCAAAATTTCATTCTCCTTGGAGATTTTTTTATGAAGGCTTTTTCTACTAAAGATACAACAGTTTCAATAGACTACACTTAAGCTCACTCACAGTACACAGTAAGTTTGGAGATCTGGCTCTTGGAGAAGTGTGTTCCCCTGTTGAAAGCCTCACAGGTGAGTTTCAGCCCATCCTCCTCCCGGGAGACCCGGTGGGTTATGTTGGACATGGTTGTCATCCCACCATTGTCTCCCTGCAGACACAAAGCACACGACAGTTCAACTAGGAGACAGTCTTATTCTCAGAAAAGAGAGGAAAAAAACTGGAGAGGAAAACAACTCACACTGGTTTGTCTTGGCGAATACAGATGGCAAATTAGCTACTGTAATAACTGATGTTGTGCATGGTCTGTGATAAATAAGCATATTCATCTGACTCTCCCGCTTTACACACGGTTATAAATTGAGCAAAGTGTCATTTTGCACCTGCCTGATAGTGGTCATGCCTATGCAGCACATCTGGTTATTAAAGCTATTATTGTGGTAATTACAGTAAAAGCCACAGTCAGAAAGACTAACAAAGACACTGGACAGGAACGTCAGTCTTCATTAACCTCACACTGTTTCAGATGCATTAAAGCTCACACACAGCACATTGAGTGCCTTGTGTAAGATCAAATGAAAATCCTGCTGCCAGATGAATAAAGAGCTTGTTTAATAATGCTCATCTTCTGTGTCAGCTTTTATTCACTTTGATCTTATTAACATACACAAAAGAGAAGAGCAGCAGAATACACTTTTTGGAATCGTCTGGTGATTCATTTGCAAAGCTGCAGCCGGCCTATTCAGAGACTGCTCATGGTCATACCATTTTCGTTCATCTATAAAGGTTCACATGAGGTCACATTTCATTTTGAGGATTCTTTTAATTCAACGGGAGGCATTTTAAATGTTTTTTTATGGGTACCCTAAAGGCACACTTGGCTGAAGGGCAATGCTGTTGCACTTAATCTTTTATGCCTTTCACAAAAAAAGAAACAAGAACATACCCTTTCTTAGTATTCTCTTTAAACTGACCATTGCGGTTTCCAATTATAGTTCATTGTCTACACTGCCTCTTGCCAATATTGTACTTGTCTACCTGCTTAGATAGATAGATTTCAGCTTTTTGCTGGGTGTGTGCTGTGTAGTCTCACCTCTTCCATAGTGACAACAAAGGAGTTGAGCTCCTTGTAGCCCAGCCACCAGCGGATCTGGACAGGGGGATTACTGGAGCTGGCGTAGCAGGTCAGATTCAAGTCCTGCCCCTCAGTTGCCTTGAACGATCCCAACAGTGTCACCTCTGCAGGCTCAACTGATGCACACACATATAGGCAAGACAAGTCAGTGAAAATATCGCCCAGTGAATAGCGCATTCAACAGCTACCTATTCTGATCACAGTGGTAGCACAACTATTTTTGGATGTGAAACATAGAGCTGTATCAAGGGTGAGAGGGAAAATCACTTTGAGTGGCAACTTGTTTTCTCTGGAGGTTTTCACTGTGATTTCTAAAGTATGCTTCTTTTTAACCACAGGGGGAGACAGGGTACAATTGCTGCAGGCAAAGTGATGCAGCTGCATAAAGCCTTCGGGGGAGTACAAAGGCTGGGGACTGAGCTGGCAGACATGGGGAAGGAGGGGTCATATATGTAAATCTTATACTTATCCGTGTCTGCCCCACATGAGACACAGAATGGGACGCATTTGTGCATGACACACAGAAAGCCATGAGGTAAAAGAGGCATATTCATATTACACCGGTGAGACATATTCTGGTCCCTCCAGCTTCTGCCAGTGCCTAGAGCTCAGTCAGGCAGTCAGCAACTCATTTGCAACATCCCTGAATGGATGAATGGAAGGCATGGCACAAGGGCCTGTTTGGAGCTTGGTGAGAAAAGTAACTTCAGCCACGTTCACACAGCATGAGCAAGAGATTTCTGCATGGGCCGATCCTAATTCAAACATTTACATGGAACAGGTACATCAATCTCATGGCATTTAAAGCTCTGACTTACTTTGTCTGGCTCTGTAGGGGAAATCAGGCTATTGTTAGACTTAATTCACCGTGGCTGCTGAATATTAATTCTGTATTTGTTTTATTGTTGCTGAAACAAACATTTTATATTCAGAGAGAAAAGTATAATCTATTAACCATGGGCGCTTCTGTAGCACAAAGTGTAGGCTTTACTGCCTCGGGATTGTGCATTGAAGCAATTCAGCTGAATTAGTGTAGTAGCTATGAAAGAGCATGCAGTGATACTAATCTGGAGGCAGTCGGAAATATGGGCTGCAGCCATAATAACCATTAGTTTCATTAATGATATTAGCATTAGAATTTGTGCTGGGACAGCAAAAGAATAGGTTTTGGAGGTAAGACTCTTATTATATTCCTCTGCCTCATGTCCATATCCTTAATAATCCATTGCTGCGAGTCCTGCCAAGGCTTTGTGTGTGTGTAAGTGTGTGTGTGCGTTTCAGCGCTGTACACTATATTAAGTATTATTTTCACTCACAGAGCACAGTGATTTTGCGGCTGAGAGAAAGAGGTGACAGGGACACCAGATTGATGCTCTCACAGCACAACACTGCCTGGTTGTCCGCAGGGGTGATCTTCAGGTTGAGGATACTGCTGGACTTCTGCATCACAATGTCCTCCTGCCAAATAGTGGACAGAACTTCTCCATTCTGACAAACAGATGAACATGTGAAATTAAAAAAAAGGTAACATTAAGAATATGTTTGAATAGTTGCACAGTCCCATATGGTGCAGTCAATGAAGTAGAGAAGCTACTAAGAATGGGAAACCTACACTGCAAGTTCATAAACTAAAATTTCAGATTCTGCCAGAGTGACTGTGTGTTACAAAGCCTCCTTAGCAAATGGTGCAGAAGATTTACCTTGGTCCAGTGGAGATTGGCTAGGGGGTTTCCACCATGAGACACACACACCAACCTGAGCATTGTCCCTGCTTTGATTTCCTCCCACTCCAGACCTAGAATAACTGGAGGCTGAGGTGGGACTGCCAGGAAACGAGACACAAAAATAAAAATGGACTTGACAAAGGGGAATGCCATGGAAAATTGAAGAGAAAAGGATAAGGGGAAAAATGGGATGCAGGAACTTAGGGAAACAGGAGGATGGAATGGCCAACAGTAGGATAACATGAAAAAGAAACTGCACTGTGATGAGAATACTCTTGGCAATTGAGTAGGGAGCATCCCTATTTGTTGAGACGAGGCCAATAAATTGGGCACATTCAACAAGACTGCAAGATAAGAGGTCCAGATCTGATGAAAGCATTAAGTATTAAGGGAACAGTGAACTGGATCCAGTCCATAAAGCAAAATAACAGATGTTCAAAAAGTAATAAGGCAACGTGAAATATGAATAAATTACAGCCTTGTTGAATAAAATATAGGCAGTAAATAGATGAGGATGGGTCTTTGTTATTGCTGCAATCAGTTTCAGAGACCAGGCTGCAGACCCAGGGACAGTGTGACAAATTGCCACCTTGCTAACAATCTGGCTGGCTGAAAATGGCCACCGCGCTGGCTTTGATGGGCTAGCATGCTGAGCAAGACTGCAGTGGTGGTCCAAAGTTCTGCAACATTAGCACTTAGCAGAGACCCCTGTTGTATAATACAGGGCAGAGAGACAGAGAGGAAAGGGAGGAGTGCTCACTGTTATTGGCGTTTGTTAAAACAGCAGCGTTGCCTTCTAATGTGGAGGAGTATAGATAGAGACAACATTAAGGTGTCTAGTCAGCCTGTGGATAACACGGCAGCTGAGCTGGAGGGAGTGCTCGTTGCTGAAGGTGTCAGCAGCCCTGCTCCACTTTAATCAACAACATGATTTAGGCCTGGGAGAAGCAGGTGGGTAGACTCTTAAGCCTAAAACAATCAATTACTTTAACTGATCAGCAGAGTAGAAAATACTAAACCTACTGTAGTAAACAGTAGCTGAGCTGTGACACTGTTTGTGCATTCAATAACAATGGTTTTCTTTGTTGCCTTGCTAAATAAGAGGAAAACGAAACGCCAAATGCAATGAGAGACAGAGACAGCGTGTGTGTCAACTTACTTTTGTGTGCTACGGTAACAATTTTATTGTATAATGTCATGCGGTTTGTAATAATAACATGAAAGAAAAAAGCAACAGAAACTGCCTCCTCTCCTGCCTCAGTGGATTCTAATTTTAATTTGAGCTGATGAGCACAAAAGTTGCTGGGTTAGTTTTGTGGGATTCATCATTATTAACTGTTGTGGCCTTAGCTTCCCATATTAGTTATTATAATATTGTTAAAAAATTCAGTACTTGAAGCCTCGCTGATATAATCCATCTCAGTTGGTCTAATAATTGGTTTCTGTGTTTTGGTTAACATTGGGGAAATAAGACTAAGGGCGTAAATAGTTTTAAGATTACTGAATAATACAATAGATCTAAACTAAACTAGTTCAAATTTAATTGCAGGGTTGGTATTTGATTTTACACTGATAGCTACTGAAAACAGCCTAGACCTCCTGTTTTGGTCATATCAGTCTCAGCCCACCAGGGGCAGCCTTGTGAACTGGAGGCAGTCACACTTATGTTGACTTGAAGTAGGTGTGAGTTTGCCTTCAGGTCAAATGTTTCTCTTCTGACCAGTAACACAGACTGAGTGCACAAGGCCGGATACCCTTGGGCCTCCCGGAGGTTGGTTTCCTGTGTGATTGAGTGTGTGTGTGTGTGTGTGTGTGTGTGTGTGTGTGTGTGTGTGTTGTTTTTTTTCCAAAGCAGACGGGGTGTTGACTGTCAGTTTACAGACAGGTTGAGACACTCACAGTACACGCTCATGGTCATTGTGGTCTCCACAGGCCGTAAAAGGGCGGGGTGCTTGGCATAACATGCCAGCTGCCTCCCGTTGTCAGAGCTCAGAGCAGTGACCCTTTGAGAGGTAACATAAAGATGGAAGAAATGAGAAGGATAAAATAGTTTATATGTGGCCATACAAAATTCACATCATTGTTATATTTCGCCAGTGGTGAAAGACGTATTCAGATCATTCACTTACAGTAAGTTGTGCAGTCAAAATCCCACTTGAGTAAAATTACAGGAGTATTATCAGTAAATTTAATTCTTGTATAAAAGTATAATCTAAGTTCTGCAGTAAAATGTCCCCCGTGGCTATGAGATTGTTTATACTGATGCACTGATGTTAAAGCACCATTTTACTGTAGTTCAAGGTGAAGCTGGTTTTACTTTATATGCAGTTAGGTAGTTTAGTCCAGTGGTTACCAGTCTAGAGGCTGGACCTCCCAAAGGGTAGCAAGATAAATTTGAGGGGTTGTGAGATGATTAATGGGACATGAAATAAGTAAAGTTCTGCTACACAAATTTGTAACTTTTTCAAAAATGCACTTTGTGATGTACATAGAAAGACCTGTGCAATGCTGTGGATTTATTCTGTGCTTAGTTTACTTTTTTAGTTTATGTCTTCTATATCAAATTACAGAACAATATCAACCATAAAAATCACACATGGCCCACTGCTGTGTGCGCTCAGTGTGAATATGAGGAAGAAGCATCAATATTGCTTAAATCCTTGGCTGCTCTGCAATAGAGCTGAACAACTTTGCAGCTCCTCAGTGCCAATGTTATCTCAGGATATGACAAGAGGTTATTATCTTTGACACAGAAGAGACAAGTGGGATTAAAGTAATCTATAGCCCTGTTTAATGTATAGGCACCTGGCGAACCGGCGAGGATCGGATCTGTCTCGCTGCAGGAATGTAATTTTGTGCATTTGACAGAAGCTAATTCAATCTCACAGCGCCAAGTAACAGTTCGCTGTGTGCAGAAATTCATTGTACTCAGTAAGACAGAAGGAGAAAATCAGAGCGGTGTGAAAACAAGGGAAACAAGAAACAAAGACAGACTTGGAAAGACTGAGCAGGTTGGTGAGGAGAATGAGTCTGGCAGGCGGGTGAACACATACGTTACTTGAGCATGCGTGTTCAGGAGCTTATCCGTTGAGCCAGACATGGTGAAAGACTCTCCACCTGTCAGCTCGACTTCATCTAAAAGACACAATGGGGCGAAGGCACACAAAAAGGGAGAATGTGGTGTGTAAATTTGTGTATGTGTGTAAAAGGCAACATCAGTGTTAGTCTGGTGTGGAATCGTAAATACTGGAATATGATAGGTATGTGTATCTCTGTGATTGGTACAGTCCCAGTGTATAATAATCTTAACCTGTCTTGCAATGAAATCAAATAGGTGTTCAGTTTACAATATCAGCAATAGTAAAGATGTATATTTTAAGAGGAAGAGAGAAGAGAAAATATTTATCTTAGACTTACGGTACAACCCTGTAGATAAATTCACACCAAGAGATAACACTAGAGCATCATGTTTCAGCAATATACAGTACAATAGGTGTGTCGGAGGAGCATAAAGCAAATACAGAATATTGCAGTTGTTTTTGTAAACAACTGGAAACATGTGATACATTCACTGTCCACGCAATTGTAAAGTCAGTGGAAATTGGAAATTCAAATGTTATTTCCTCCCACACAGTCTGTTCCTTTCAATTCTGCAATTCGAAGACTGAGAAATAAGAAATCTTTACTGAACTTGCATTTTATCCTCGCCATGTTTTCATGTTGATAAATACAGGTTGCGACCTATAGAGATCCCAGAATGTACAATATCAGAAACACTGTTGCCCTTTGTCATAACCTGCCGGGCTGACCATCTCTGTCACATTTAGTGCAGTTGAAAGGGTGACTCACCTTTATAAAGTGTGATTTCAGCCGAGGGCTTTGAGTCAGTGGCAATACAGGTGACGGTGTACGTCTTCCCTGCTACCCAAGGTGTTGCCATGTCCAGCTCCAAGTGTGCCTTGGAAGGAGGAACTGAATGAGAGAAACAACAGTTCAAGTCTTATTTTTATCACATCAGTAACCTCATATTCATCACTGTAATTTTGGGCTAGTAGAAACAGGCGCTATCACAGATGGATATTAGCTTATGCAATGATATGATAATAAGCACTTTGGGAGTGACTGGAATGTCACGCTGTCAGCTCGTGAGTGATTTACTACAGCAAGGTTTGATGTTCTGTTGAGTTAGAATACAAATTGTGGACAAGAAGAGAATACAGAGATGAAATAGTGATGAAACTGATCCAGTGCTAATCTATCATAGCAAACACCAAACGCTTCTCCTCTCCGATCACCCCCAAGCTAAATATGTGCTTTCTGGGCTGATCAAAGCAGTCTTCACTTCTCCACTGTTCTACTCTACAATCCTTTTATCTGACCATAAATAGGAATTCCAGGAAAATAAAACATGGTTTTGAACACAGGGACCAAAAAATTGTTTGGCAGTAAACTGAGAAATCTGCCACCAACTAATCATCAAAGAGATTTCTGCAGATCTGCGAGACTCTCTTTACCAGGACTATCAGAAACCTGGTCGATTATTGTGCCGCCTATTAGGTTAAGGTTGTTTGTCTTTCTTCAGAGATCAAGTGCAAAGTCTGACAGAGTTCAGAGACATAACGGGGAGCTGAAAAGTACAGTATGGCTACGTGTGTAAGAGAGACATGAAAGGGTCTGGCAGAGAAGTAAAGAGACATGGCAAGAATGAAAAGGCTGCAGAGGACAGCAGGGCAGGAAGATAGCTGCTGCTGAATTCTGAGATAAATCCACTGCTAATGTGTGGGTAAACAGCTGGACCACAAGCAACCGAAAAAGTCAGGCAGTCAGCTCCTCTCCATCTACTTGGCACATACAATCAATCCTGGGCCACTAGGAGGAGCTGTTGCTGTGTGCAGAGTCGCCCATTGGCTCTCATCTGCTATTGAGACAGATGAGATGTGGCTGCAGCTTCAAACTGATTTAAAAGAAGCAATTGAATCTGTGTGGACTGTGATGGGTTACCCAGAGCACTGCAGAGGCGCGCGCTGCAATAATGAGATGCATTTGTTTGTTTTCCCCCCCCTCTTCCCTGAGAAGATGACTGGGCCATGCATCTATTGACAGCCCCTGCACTCTCAATCTACTCAGGCCCGCACGATCCACATTGGCGCGCCACTTGTTGTGCTCGAGTTTGGCAGACGAACAAATCCTAAAATAAGAATAATGATATGTTCGCAAATGAGGGAGGCAGGCAGGTATCTAATTTTTTCCTCGCTCACTCATGCTGGCCCTCTCCTCTTATCTCTCATTCACTCTCTAGCAGCCCTCCCCCACCCCCCTCCCCCACGCTATCCTCCTTGACCACTGCAGTTAAACTGAAGAAGTGCAGGGGGAAGGTGTGTTCCAGCTCAGACTGGGAATTACAGCCCGCCATCCATCACATCTGCAAACCATGTGACCCAATCAGCCCAGTCAGGATGAATTTAGACATAGGTTACACATACATTTGTACAAATGTGATAGCATGTGGACAACAACAAAACACGCAATTCAGTTCAATTTACTAGACATGCACTCAGAGGAAAGAACAGACAGCAAACAAGGTGTTCTCTTAATTAACACTTTCTGCTCCTTCTTTGTCTACCTGCCTGTCGGCTTTTTTTACTGTCTCCCTATCTCTTGCTCTGCTTTCTAGGCCTATCTCTCTTGTTAAGGCACATATATGAACACAAAAATAGACAGGCATACAAAGACTTGCTCCTGCCACTCAGACGAGAAACAGTGAGCCGCAAAATTCGATTCATTAGACAAATACAGACGGACGGATGGATAAGGTAGATAAGAAGCAGATTAGCAGACATACATCAATATGCATAAGCAGCTCTTTCCACCTGTCTGTTCTCTCTCATTCACTCTCTTTTCTCCTTTGCACACAAACACCCAAAGATAAACTCGAGTCTACAGTGCATGCACGTAGATGTGCGCGCAAAAACACACTGACACAGGCGAGCGGATGCGCAGACAAGCTACATTCATCTCAATTCCCTCTAAAAACAGGCGCCAGCGTGTGTACAGTGTAACATGTGATACCAAGCTAATTCTCTGGAAAATATTGGAGAAGGCCCAGAAGATAAAACAGTCTCTAAAAAGCTTATTATGCCACATTAAGAAAATAATGGAGACCAGAAGATCAGACTTCTCAACACCAAACAGACACACCTCAATGGTTTTATCTCTGAAGACGAAGACTGGCTAAAACCACACATCCGTGCACATGTACATGCACAAGGATATATTTTTAAAATCATATGTGCATAAAAACACACAGGTCTCAGGTGTGTGATCCCTGGCAATTAAAGCCTCCGAAACAGTGCTATTTTTTAAGCTCTGTCTCGTCTGTGTCTCCTCTGCTTTGGGGGAGAAGTGGAGCAGCATCCCCCATCATCCCTCACTCACTGACATGCCACTCCTTTACGGACTCTTTCAAGTTTTGTTTTTGGGTCCATTACATAACAGTTAAGTCCCTATTTGTGTGCATCCATTGCCATTGACAGACAATATTTCACACACCTGCAAGATCTGATGTGTCTCTAAATCTACCTTACTGACATTCATAAAGGAGTTCAAAGCAAAGGAGAAACACAGAACACTTCAGTTATCCCTTTAGTGTCTCATTTTACTATTTAACAGAGCCTCCTTTGCTAATTGTAAAGACCCTGACACTGTAACATCAGTCTGGCACTGTAATATGCACACCGTCACACCAGTGTATAACACACCATTCTCTGATGGGGTTACATCTTGGGCAACTGTCAGAACTTTTCGCGAACGAAGATGAATAAAGTCACCGTGTTCTACGCTGCTTGTGCCCCCATTTATAAGTTGTTCCATTATTCATAACAGGGAATCATAAAATGAAGGCTCATTATATACTCTTCAAGTGCTAAACTCATTAGCTACCGCAAAAACCTCACCATAGCCCTGGCTCCTAAAATGTCCTCTAACCTCCAACCAACACTGATAATAAGCTTACACACATGGACACACACACACACACACACACACACACACACACACACACATATCTCTGTAAAACCTGACTATGGCAACTGAATGAGTAACACAGTCTAAAACCAGAACACATCAAATAACTGTTTTGAACATTTGCAGGAGGCATCTGTGCAGGCATGCAATGCGGTGAGGGAGAGAGTTGTTCATTAATAGGATTAAATGCTAAGGCTAATGGTATAAACCGAGACACAGGATGTGTCAGGTATGTGACGGGCACAGTGCGGGGTAAGTTTGAGCAAAGGAGGGGGTTTCAGAGGAGGGGGTAGAGGTTGTTATTGTCATGGATTACTCACTGCCACTTGATCTGCCTATTGCAGTAATCCCCTATCTAAGCTCTGCAGGAAGGCAAAAACACACAGGAGTTATGTTGCACCAATGGAAATGTCTTCAAAACATCTCTTTGTAAGCCCATGGATGGGGCTTATTGACATTTTGGCCTCCCTCCCCGCTATTCACTGCCTGTGGTGATCCATCTTGAATTAGCCAGTCATGATAGCACTCCCTCTGACCCACGAATCCAATTATTCGACCAGCAATCTCTGTTTTGCTTTCACATCCCTCCCCTCTCCCCCACTGTATCTCCTCATAAAGAGTTTATAGTGTTTTGATTTGATGCAGGGCTTGATGGGATATGGCCATGGTTGAATGGCCAGGGGTGTGGGGCCTTGGGATCTGTAGTTCAGTAATGGAGAAGTCCGTGGGGAACTCATCAGAGACAGTGCTCTTCAAAAGAATGCACAGTTTCTAGTCCCAGTTCAGCACTAACAGGAGATTGAATTCATCAGCTCATTATAAAGCCCCAGATTAGTCACGTATTTTGAATCAGTTGAGTTGGTGGGGTGGAACAAATGACCCTTTAGGACCAAGGCTGCAGAGTGCTTTTTAAGTCAGCTGCTTCACTCTTTGCTCTTTGCAACAGTACAGCTGCAAATGTCCGTCTTAAACAGTCAACAGCTGGGAAGTGTTCCCAAGACGCTGAACAAAAACACCAGCTGAGATGTGTGAAGAGGATTCACTGTCAATGTCAGGAACACAGGGCAGCAGTGGGTTTCGGCCACATAAAACTAATTCCCACACACTTTGACCTTTTTCGACAAAGCCGTTGACTTTGTGCATGTGGGGCACATGCAATAGGCACCTTGGAGGAAATAAATGTGAGAGTCAAGCCTGCTGTGGCTGCAGGTGTAGGCCTGCTGTAGGACATGAGACCGCTGCAGCGTAGAACAGAGCACAGCCATTCAAAGGACGCGTCTGCGGTCTATGCCTCTTCCTATCCCACACCACTCGCCATCCCTGCCACCAGCCCATTGATGTCAGAAAAACCTGCTTTCTTCCCAGAGGAGAGTGAGGCCGCTAGAATTGCCACAGCAACCCCCCACCCCAGTGAAAAAAAAACCTCTCCATGGTCACCAAAGAGAAAGCCTGAAAGAGAGGGAGAGAGAGGAAGAAATTGTGCAACGGAGAGAATGGGGAGGGGGATGTAAGTAAATGAACTGCGCCTGGAGAAGAAAGGTTCTTTTAGAGTCCTTTCCTTGCCACATATGGGCTTGCTCCCACAAGCACAAGGGATAGGGAGATAGCAGTTATTATAGAGTGACAACAGGTGGTCTAATGTAGTGGCACAATTACATCTCTTCCAGCCCATGTCTGAGTACGAACTTTTCAGTCACTTCTGTTATAATTTAGGGAGGCAAGGGAGAGACATGGATCGCCCTGAGGCTGCCAGGGAATCCAGGCTCTTCTGGTACTTTATATTGTGCAGCTGCTGGTTAATGCCATAGACCTACTGGAACATGTAGGGATGGCATAGTGCTTGTTAAAGAAATAAATACTGTTTGAAAAGTTAGAGAAATTGTGACTGTCATGTTTCATACATGCTTCAAATATGATTTACGCTTGAAGTAAACTGCTGAGTTTTGCTGTACCAAGGACATGTAGAATTTTGCCTCTAAAATCAAGTGCTTAAGCAATTTAAAACTCTTTATCAATAGAAATGAATATTTAACAGCTCTTTATATGCTGATTACTGGTCAAGAGGTTGTGTATGTTACTGGAGTACTGAAGATGTTCACTGTGCCATCATTTTTTTTACTCTGACAAATAAAAAAAGAAGATATATTCAAAAGCCCCCACATTGTCCACACACTCCATGGTTTTGCTCACTTAGTACGTTGACCCAGGCTGTTATGGAAATGATTGCTTGACTGCTCTCAGACCGGCCCGCTTGACATTCATACGGGGCGTCATCTTCCAGTTGGGCTGCTTCAATCTTAAGATGATGCTGCCCTGGAATAGAGAGGGAGAGATTAATTATTTTTGTGACACATTATGTTGTGATGAGGATATGCTCACTAAATACATGTAGATAATTACAAAGAGGAGGGTTTTATTTAGTTTTCTTGTTCACACCCCACTGAATATAACACTCGCTGTTCGGAGTTGGTGCATGTTTATCGGTAAGTACCTCCTGCAGGCCCTATTTCTTCTGTGTTGATTTCAAAGTGTCTGAATTATAGGCAATTTTCAACTTGGGAAATGGGAAAATTAACAATAAAAGCAATTTGTACAATGACAGGCTGGCATTTCAATTCAATACGGTAATACACACTACTACTAATGCTTGGGTGTTTGATTTGATTATAAATAGGCTATTTTCATCTTTCTGTAAAATGGAAACATCTCACTTGCTGAGAACCTCCTGCTGCAGGCATTTCCATTGACATGCAAGTAGTTGTCTATAGTCATAGCAGAGATATTTTGTTTCAGAATGAATTTCTAGTATGGTAAACGAAATCCAATCCCTGATTCACAACGCCGACTAAATAAACTGTCTATTAATTGATGCCAGGCAGAGCCCATCTTTCTGTCTCTCTCTTCTGATAGTCTGGCATGCCAACAGGGCTTGATTTGTTTGATGCGTTGCCATAACCTGTGGGGATTAGATGATGTTCAGTGTTGGTTTTCCAGCGCCTGATTCGCTGGCAGACAGCTTACTAACATGTGCAAAACAGTATCTTGGTCTGACAACCACCCATGCCTAAAAAGGCATGTGTCGAGTAAGCTGGCAAGATAATTAACAAAGAAACAATTCTCACATCTAAGTTATCATAAAATGCAGACAGTGAGAGACATTGAAATTATTAATCATATTCCTCTTTCCTGAAATTACTCACAAATAGTGCAATCAAGTTGCAGAGAGTGAGTATTTATGGTAGGAGAGATGCAGGATGGCTGCAGCACTGTGCTTATTGTCCATTACTCTGTATTTATTTCAACAAGAGCCTTCAAAATGTTGAGATATAGTATGTAGCCATTGTGCAGCCATTATGTCTGCAGCTGATTATATTCCCCACTTTTGCATATCTGCATTTGTGTACTGGCCCTTAAGCTGGTAACACATTGTTACATAACTGGGGAAAGGTCAGTTCCAATGGAAATGAAAGGAAAGAAGAAAACCAACTAGTATCAAATGTTCAGACAGCCTTTTTGCATCATTCAGTCAGCCGAATATAAGCAGTATAGTTCCTCTCACTTGCGTGTATTTTGTCATTTGAAAATCAGGCAGTATGTTCCAGAAAATATTCCACGATTTGAGCCAGTTTAGTTTACAAGGCCATTCAGCCTTTCAGAAAGCCTTTATATTGTCATGTGTTTAATGTTACCCTATTATACCTGGGGCAAACTAATTAAATATAAAGTATGTGCTACAAATGCATTATTATTTCTGAAACAAACATAAAAGTATACACACAATGCGAATACTTTACTGCAATGTTTCTTGGCTCAATTCAGTATTACATACTTAAAAGTAAAGCATATTTGTACCTTTTCAAAAGCCAGAAAGATTCATTAAACTTGACAACAACGTCATTTGCAAAGACATTCTAGTGTTGGCAGCATGTCACTAACAAGAAATCCCAACAAGTAGTTCAGTCGATAATCATGTGTGACTACCGTCTACAAATGTTTGATATTAGTTAGTTGACATTGTAAAAATATGAAACGTGCAGTATTTGTGTTCATTCATAATTAAATGTTACCTTATTGACTGGCTGGGTGCCATGTACCACAATTAATTTACACTTTGTGGACCAATCATTGAAAATAAATTAACGACTTAATTCTGTGGTGCCAAGCTGTTTTATCAGTTCCTGTGTGTTTTTCTTTACATTGCACATTGTTGTACACATGCATTAAATCCTAGATATAGTCTCACATCCATACACATCTACATTATTGCCTCAGCTTGGGGAAACTAAGGGTGCTACATCAACTGCTAGTATATGTTCAAATCAACGCTTGCTTCTCCTGTGTGTGAACGCATTATTTAAGCATCAATAAACATCACGATCAGTGAAAACTGGTGGAGTATCAAGTGCAGTCAAGTGTCATCTTAAAGGATTTTGCTCTTTCTGTGCAGTGCAAAGTGATTGCATACATCAGTCTGCAGTTTCTTTGCTGGTAAAGTGTCCCTGCGCTGATGGGTATTTTATTCATGAGTGTATGCTTGAGTGTTTGACAGCTATATGTGTTTGTTTTCCCTATGTTCATGTATATATAGATTTTGTTATAAACAAAAAGAGAGATATAAAAAGAGGCAAGATTTTGTTTTCTAACTCTGTACCTGCTGTAATGCACACATTGCCATTTGCTCACTGATAACTAATCAGCTGAGAAATGACATTTTAGAGTTTTATACATGTGTTTTTCGTGTAAACATTAGGTGTTAATAAGCATGAACAATATGAGCATTAGCATCTATGCATCCCTCAGTGTTCACGTGTCGCTGGCGGTCTCCCACACTGTGAAACAGTGAAGTGTGGCTTGTCTAGTTGCGGGCTGATCAGGAGCAGATGCTCTTCTCTTACTCGCGATTGCCTTCTAATTGGCTATTACTTTTTATAGACTGTGGTGCAGATTCTGCAACACACTTTATTCCCTGCCACATTTCACTGATTTGCTGACACGCTGGTGCTTTAATTTCTTTTTTCCCTGTCTTTACATGTGAGTGACAGTGAGGGGGGAGTGTGAGAGGCTGTTGACAATCACATCACCTCCCCTGTCCCAGATGCTCCCTATATAGAGAGCTAGTGTGTCATAAGGTTCCCTTAATGTCTGTGTTGCTTTATTACAGCATTTGAAGCCATAGCAACAACATCATCTCAATTACGAGTAGCCAACATCAAGCTGTACTGTCGGACGCTTCGTGAGCTGACATAATGAAAAAAATACAACCTATATGTCACAAGAAAATAAAGAAGTACATAAGGATAAATATAATAATGCCAGCATATTATTGTGTTACTTTCTTTGGTACATCATACTGCATACTTTACCCTTTTCACATCATGGCATACACAGTGGCTTTGCTTTACCTTGACCAGTGTTATTTATGCTAATCCACTCAACTGGATCTTTTGAGTTGATCATTTCTATGAGATTTTGTTTTCTTTGCCAAACCCATAAACTGCAAACCTCATTCAACCATAGCTAATTTTTGATGACTAATCTATTTTGTGACTTTTTTATCAAACAAGTTAACTTATTTAGCTTGGCTAAGTCCATCAAAGCCCAATAGGCCATAGACCGTATCCCTGTTTACCTCTCTGGGGGTTTCCAATCATGCTGTATCGTGGAAAGCCTGGCAGGCTTCTGTGATGTCCCAGGAGGAGGCCATCTTTCACCCACTGCACAGTCCCTGAGGCCCGCAGCACCTCACACCTCAACACAGCTGTGGCTCCCATCGGCACGGTGACGTTCCTGGGCTCAGACCTGAAGGCCTGCTGGGCCTGTGTGCCTGGAGACGTAAAAAGAGAAGGAGGAAGGAGTTGGAAATGGAATGATAGACCAGATAAGGGATGTGGTGGGATTTAAAGTAAAGAGAGGGAGAAGAACGAGGGCAGAGTTTTATGGAGGAAATAAAAGGAGTAGAGGGAGCATGACATAAACACACAACACAGGGATGCAGTCTTGTGTTCTTTTGTCTGAGAACGCACCCCATTGTGTCTGGCCACATTATTCATCCTGGCATATGTTTTATTGATGGGAAACTGCAGTGATACGGCCCTGAAAATGAGTCAATAAAGTAATTACTGCGAATTAAATCCCCCCTTGGCCTTGCAGATAGGGTATTGGGAGGAGGAAAAAAGCATAGGGTATCAGAGACCTCGTTCACCTGCGGTTTTTCTTCAATGTCGATGTCCCACCTGCTAATTCCTCCTGGGAAGAGTAATGATTATCACTTTAATCCCTTGTTTGTCATAGGTGGGGTTGGCCATCTTTCAACCAAGCTCCTTGGTGACATTCTGTGATGCAGTGCACTTGAGTCAGGAAGGTAACCTTAACGCCGACCACCCATGAGCCTCTTACACTGGGGCTAAGATTAGATGATTATTATACAGAGAGGTTTATGAATAAATTAAGTTCAAGGAGCCAAACGCCACTGCCTACGCCAACTAATGCCTAATATCTAAGCATGAATCTCGTTTAAACAATGCCCCACAGAGAAGGCAGCCTGATTCCGCTAGCCTGCTTGAATCTTGACCTTCATTGAAGCAATGACCAAGTTGTTTGTGAAGTGCATGCTCTGTTGCGTCTGACAACATGAGTGAGAGGCAGAGCTCTCAGATCAAGGCTGAACCAGTCACCTCACGTCAAATATGAAGGGCAAGATTGGCCATTACAAAGGATGCATACAAACAACCAAACACGGGAGCACATTTGCATACAGTTTTCATAAATAAATACTCAACCGTGATCTACAGTGGCTGCTGAAAAAGTTACACTGTATAATTCTGAGATAGAGAAATACTAAATACCACATCAAAATGTAGCGATACGACTCAGTTTTCATGTTCACAGTGAGTGCGTAATTTTAAAATGAAAAATAACACTCACTCATGAATTGAGCCCTTGTTTATTTCATTAAAGCATTAGCCTTAATGACTCTTCTCTGCTTGTGCTATTGTTACCCTAAATTTTTTTAGTCACAGATAAACATTTTGATGGTTTTCTCACAAATGTAAAGCAAAAAGGGAATATCTCACAACAATTGTGTTGTGCCCTGCTTGTGGTCCCATTCCATCAGACTCAGTTGAAATGAAGGGGTGTTCAATCGCATTCAGTCGCATTATTATTATCAGTGACCATCATCCTGCATTTGGCCACTTGTGTTCACAGTTTGCATCTAAAGCTTCAGTACTATTTTTGTTTTATTTTAGCCTGTAAAGTCATAGCACAAACTGAATTAAATTCTCCCAGTAAGCCTGTCAGTAAGCAAACATGCACTTCAGCACCTAAACGGAATGCAGCCATCATTAGTTAATGTTATTAATTATACCTGCATATTCCTGCTATGACCTGTTAAAATGTCTGCCGTGAAAAATTGATTTCCATTCCTTATTCAAGAGTGCACGTCTGCAATTTGCTTCTCAATCCTTATTTCTACATTCATTTCTAGCCTCTCTAGGTAAGGGATGCAAATGCAAATATTTGTTTATAGCTAAATCTTCCTCTTCTGTCATGAGGTAGCAAGGATATATGATTAAGATCAGTTTGTCCCATATAATGTCAAATGACTTAGCGTTATGTTTAGTGGGTTCCATGAACTGGAAGTCACTGTGGTAATCACCATGGAAACTAGTGAGGAAATAATGTGCATATAATACCCAGTAGGAGAAGTAAAATTATTTTGGTGTTGTTTATTTTCTGTATAAACTGCTCAGTGCCAGATGTGCAGGAGGGACATAGCCAGTTAATAAAAACTGTCAAGGACAGCATCCACAGCTCCATACTGCTTATATTGGACAGATATACCTTGAGCTAATCCCTGACAAACAACAACCCTGATAGAAAAGTCCCTATGGTCACATAGAATAACGCTATTGGCCATACAGTTTGGGCAGTGTTCTGATTAAGCTATTTGCATACAACACCAATCCCTAAGTGTTCCCATAAATAAATTGGTTAACAAAATGTTGTGGTGTATAACATATGTGCATTTGACGCATAACAGTTTAACATAGCACTGTAGCAGCTGGATAGAGGATTAGTGACCTTTAAGGGGAGAGCAGAGGTCAGTGGTTACGTGGAGGCTCAGACCCTTATCTGGTGTCCAACAAGATGTCTACACTTATCCTATAGAACTTTGTTCATATATGGATTGGTGCCTTAGTTTGCAGACTCTGACCCCTATATGGTATTTAGCAGATACCTAAACATGTCCTATATAAGCTGTGTTTGATGTACAGAGAGACAGAGTGGCCATCGGGCTGGGTCACTCTCCAAGCTGCTGCAGAGCTTGTAATTGATGCTGAATTCCTTGATGTAATAAACTTTTATGATCAAGAACAGTGTCAAGCGGATTTCTTCTCAACACATCATCGCAGCATTATTGTTCAGACACCAAAATGTTCCTGTCTACCTGAGGTCCTGTTCATAGGGAGAATGATCCCCTAGAGAGTGAAACAAATGCATCTGCTGGTCTCCTATTAGATTAAGCAATAACAACAGAGCAAGGTAACAATGATTACGTTATTAGGTGGGATTATGTTAATAATTGTTTAGATGCTGAAAAACTAAATAGAAAGGAGAACATACAGTATATAGATGACACAGTAAGTCCAGTTATACTTCAGTAAACCTGGTATCTTAAACAAGATTTTCACAGTATGAGATTAAGATAGGTATGTGATTAACCACATTAGTTTGACTGACTTCCATGTACTACATGGTGACATTTGATTCTCTTACCCAAGACGAGACAGAGAAAGGGTAGAGCTGAAGGAGACACCGTCCATGCTGACAAGGAGTTCATTTCAACACTGACACTTGATCTTCGACAATCCTGGAACAACCATGGAAAATACAACCTACATGAAATACACACAAATACTGTTTAACCTCCATGTCTACAAGATGAATAGAGTAGGCATATGCTTTTAAGAGGCATTTGTATTGAGTGCAGCAGTGCAGAATAAGAAGCTATCAAATTAAAAGGAGTCTTTTCATGTTTATGTTTCTTGTTTATTTTCAAGGTTTTTTACTTGACTCTGTGCTTTTGATGCTATTTACTTTTCACTTTGGCATCCGACTCCCTAGTAAGTGAAATCAGTTTCACAAGCATGGCATTGTGTAATTTGTGTTTTAGATGCAATAAATGCAGAGGGGCTTTCTGTATTTGAGTGGCTTAGATTGTTAAGCTAGTTCTTGTCTCCTGATAAGTCACAAGGAGAGCCCAATAACCTTAAAGCAGTACATTTGAATTTGTGATTAGTTGTTATAAAGACCTCTATGACTCTTTTCTTCCAGCATCTCTTACCACAATAATTCAGGACCAACTGAGGGAGTGAAGAACCAAGCATATATGATCTCTTGGATGTCCTGATAAAGGGCAAATATAAAATTTTCTACAAGATGATTTTTAAACAGCACTTTTATTAATGGAAATGTCAATGTGGGAGGTGACAGTGTCTTCCACTGTACCTATAGTTACAGTAGCTAATGTAGTTTTGGTGTCTTGAATCCATGTTCACATCCCTAAAATACCATAACAGCAGCATATTTTATTTGAATGATATTAATGTTTGTTAGTTGTCCGATGTAACCCATACCTTAAAATTGTGGACAGTAGATCAGAAAATGCTCATCTATGGTATTTAGAGGGTGCAATGTATTTTGTTGTTTAGGTATAATGATTTGTTTAGTAAATAGGTTCCAACATGCAACATTTTATATTATGGTGCCTTAAGAAAGCCAAAAATATGAGCCATTGTCAGGACCATGCTATGCTCTTGTTGAATGAATGGATCACAGAGACATTTTGCTACTAAGTCTATGGGCAGTGTTGTGGGGCTGTGCCCACTGCATCCAATGCTTTTCCTTTTTTGACCTGAAAGAGCCCTCTGTGGATTTTAAGTCAGTTTGTAATCACTTCAATTTATCTGCTGCAGGAGTGGAACAAATAATAGTGATTTACTTAATTGAAAATTAAATATTTTCTCATCTGAATAGACAAAATGAATTGAAGGCAACAGCTCTTTGACGCATCTCCCCTCAGTCAATTAGTTGCACTCCAACAGGCTTTGATAAGAATTAACTCACACTCAATTATTTTTTCGCTCTCAAAACATTTGTGTATTTCAGAGCCCCCAGTATACTCTTTGAACACACAAGGGCAATTATTTCCCTCTTCAATGAAAATTATTTTCTGAGGTTAAAAGTGCCCGTCTTCTCTTCATCTCTGTCTCTTTTAATGCCTCATGTAGGTAAACACAAACACAATCATTATATCCTGCCTAATGCTGACATTCAGTCATCCATCTTTTGATAAGAAGTCCTGGATTCCTTTCATTTGTCTGCAGTACAATGAAAAGAGCCAGAATTTCATCTCTACCTTTGGGCTTTTGGCGAACAACGGCTTTAATTACTTTAAAAATGCAGCCTGTCGCAAGAATTGTGATTTACTGTTTGTTTTCTTGAAAAACTCTGGGATGGTGTAGCATTTGTGGAATAACTGTGATATGTCATTTAACATTTGCTTAAAATACAACAATAGATAAATACCAGACTGAATGAAATTTATTTGTCTTCAAATATAAGAAAGACCCCTATTTTACTTTAACAGCACTCATTGCCACAGGTTTTTTTGACCTTGTTCTTCATGGGTTTCTTACAAATGCAAATTAGAAAGTTTGATTTGAAATTTGATTCGCTTTCAGAGACAAGGCTGCCACTCTCCCCGCAAGGGCATTAGAGGTAGCTGAACCATTCAGCGTGACCCCGACAGGTAGATTTTTAATGGCGTCTTTCATAACATCATCAAACGACTCAATACACTCAATCCTAGACCAATTTAACGCGAAACCCCATGAAATCAGTCAATGTGCATAAAAATGAAGTTTCATCCTCTGTGCAGCCATCCAATTCAGATGTGGCCCTACATCTTAATTCCAACCTAACTTCTTACCGATCTCACCAGTTGCCTGTGGGTCCAATTACTGTAGCTTATAGAAGCTGTGTTGCGAACCATTACTGCTTTAACACTGAACTGCTGATAAAGAGGCTTTCAAAAAGATGCAGATTAGATTATCAACAGAATCTAATCACATGCGATTTTACATTAAAACATGGCATTCTTTCAGTGGTCTGATTAAGACCTGACTGGATGTGCTAAACACTGACAGAACATACCTCAACCTCAAGGACAGGCAAGCTAAATCATACGTTATCAGTTTGGGCCAGCAGTTCAGCAGCTTGACGATGTCCAGTGCAAATTCAAAGCACTCAAAGAAACCCAAGTTAGGTGTTTATGCACTTTGTCTCCACTCCTTCAGCTCTAAGTTTACTGCATTACTCTGACTTTGCTACACACCTGCTCTCCTCAGGAAAAAAAGGTTGAAAGACAGAGGCAAAACCTTCTTTCAACCTCCACCAACTCAAGCACATCTGTCTGCCTAGGGTGCACAGAGAGAAGGCAGGCAGACAGACTCACAGAGAGTGGGTACCTCCTTCTTTAAAAAAGCCAAGAATCTTTGAATAGGTGTGCAAATTTGCATGAGAGAGAGCTGTGCTTACCTGTTGAGTGACGCCAAGGCTCAGGAGCGCCTTTTGTCTTACTGATCTACAGATGGCTCTCTGAACACAAGTGAGCAACAGAGATGTTAAAGAATGCCAATGGGACTCCCCCTTCTCTCACTCCTTATTCTGAGATGGAGGCAAACAGATAAAGAGAGGGAGAGAGGCAGTCACAGACTGTGGAATGGAGGAAGGTGTGTGTATATGAAAAGTGTTGGTGATAGAGGTTTCAAGGGGGTCACCTGGACAGGAAAATAAATGCCAAGAACTGTATAACAACAAGAGATTTTTAATATGTTTAAGGCCAGTCAAAATGACCATTTTAAAAGTTGCTGGACTTCTTGTTTCAGCAGAATTGAATCAATTAACTATAAAAGCTTAATAAAGTTCCAGTGAGCCAGTAATATGAGGGTAGGAACATGCCTGATGTTTCTTTCTATTCTGCCTTTCTGGAGAGTATTCATGGACCCATTATTTAGCTTTTCACTGTGGTGAGTTGGAAGGAGTACTGCAGCCCTCAAAGATACAGATGCAACACGGACGTCTTCACAGCTGCTAGTTTGTAACATTTACACTCATAAATAATGAATGGAAATGAGAGTATCCACATAACTGTATTTCCTATACTGAATTCTCCTGGGGTGATCTGCTCCGCTGCAGACAGAGACAGGCCAAAGAATTCACTTTCAACAGTGGAATATTTTATTTTTTTCTGAATACTGCCCCCACCCCCCATTTTGTCAATTATATACTTCCAACTGAATGGTGGCTGGAGAATACTACCATTTGCTCAGTGGAACATACTGAAAGCTCTTCTAGCAAGACAACTTAAAGGTCACGTTTATTTTCCATGAGCATGTATTTTTCATTTGATCTGCTGATATTCCACCCTTGTCCTGTGGCTCTGAGTTGACTATATGTACAAGCTATTTGCTCTGTATAAACACAAAAGCAGCTATACTGCTGCATCTGATGTTTCACTACGAGTCGGCTATACAGTAATGATAGACCAGCCGCTGCCTGTGAGAATAGTGAAAGAAAGTCCCCCATTTGTGCAGCAGGTAATAAAGAAAGAATAATAATGACACACACCCTTAAATGGCACAAATTCAAGGACTGTATACCTTGTGTTGTGCTAGCTGCAGCATGCAGTATCCTTTGTGTGAATGAGTGTAAGCCTGTGTGTATGTGTATAGGTGGTGAGAAGGTGTGTGTGTGGGCCAGATGTTAGCATGGATTGTGTAGTCGGAGCTAGCCCCACAGACAGTCATTAAGCCCAGCAGCCCAGGGCTGGAAGGTTAATTCCCCCGCCTGGAGGGGTATGTAGGTGGGAGGCAGGAGGAATAGAGGGAGGGAGGTGGAGGAGGGGGGAGGGGGTGTCAATGGGAGGCGAGGGGGCTGTGAAGCTCAGCACTCAGTTCACACAAACAGCACTGTCAGCAAGAGTGGAGCCGCTCCACTGCCAGACGAAGGAAGAGGAGGGAGAGAGCTGGGGCCTGACAGAGAGGTGGTGGGGGAGGGAGCGAGATGGACAGAGTGTCTGAAGATGAATGGTGAGAGGAGAAATGCAGGGAAGAGGAGGGAAATACAGTAAGAGGGTAAAAAAAAAATCATGTCAGGAGGTTGGACAGGCAGAGGGTGAGATGAAGGGGACACGAACGAGCAAGGTAATGGAGCGAAAGAAACGGATGGAGGAAGGAGACAGAAAGATACTGTAAAATGGGCTGTGGAGTGATGAATAGAAGACGAGGAAGGATCAGAGGAAGGGGGGAGATGGGAGGAAGGAAGGCTGACATGAAGAGTTGTTTTGAAAACCAACAGGAAGTCTACTGACTCAGACCAGTGCGGCAGGGAAAGCAAGGAGGAAGATTAATCAAAGAAAGCAATAAACACTACGGTGGAAAGCAACACAATATGTGGAAGAGGGAAAGATAGGGTCATGTCCATGAGATTGATTCAGAAAAGTGGAGTAGGGGTGAGACTGCATGTGATATTTTTTGTGTGATATTTTTTGAGTTCCTGTGCATGCCTGTGGGTGTGTATCGTATTTTTGTGAAAGGCGCATGGCGTAGGGGGCGTGCTTCAATCATTTGGATCACCATTAGCAATGTGACAGCTTATGTTCTGTAACTTATAAAGGAATCTTAATTATGGGATGATTATTACAGTTTGGAGTAGCTAACAGTTTAGATAGGTAGAGATATTTATCGCCCAATACGAAATTCACGGCAAGAAGAGGATTCGACTAGTTCTCCCACAGTTCTCAGGAAGTGGTTCATTTAGTGAAAAGGGGTCTTAGTAGACCTTCAGGACTTCTGAGGGTTCTGACAAAGGCCTGCAAAATTGTCTTTGTGCATTAAGCTAGAGAGTATTACATCCACACTCTAAGCCTAACTACAGCCTTCTGATCGTGAGCTGGTAGTTTGTTCGGCCTGGGTAGTGGAGAGCAAGGCAGGCAGCTGATCCGGTCCGTGTGTCTCAGTGGAGGAGTCTGGCGTGGCATTACGTGAAGCTCTGCTATATTGCAGAGTCTTGCTAGTGGGATGAGTCTCAGGTGTGCGGGAGGCTGTTAGCCGCTGAGAAGCCCAGGAGCACCACACCCAGACAGATACACAAACACAGAAAAACAAACATGGGGGGGGAGAAACAGCAGGACAACACAGGAGGAGAGGTACAGCCGGACCATGACATCTGTTGCCTGCCACAGTACAGCTGCCATATCAGTGATGCTTCTGTGTTCTAAATCTGTGGACAAGGTCAACATGGTCCCCCCCCCCCCCCAGCCAATCTGGCTCCTAGTCGACCATAGGAGAGGGGGATTTAACATGCATCACCGGAAACCAGAAATGTCAATTACAGGCATCACTAAAGTAACAGTAGCAAACAGAGATAAGAGGACTTTCAAAAGTCTGACAGAATACGTAGTTGCTTAATCCCCTTCACCAGCGCTTTCTTCAAAAGTCTGTTATAGTGACGAAGTCTAAATAGGGACATGAACCTTGTCCCTCTGCTGTTTGCAAGTTTGCAAGAAGAGATTCTCAAGTTGCTGTGCTTTGGTTGACCCGTAGACCAAGTGATGCCAGAGCATGTGGAAAGACATGTATCGGGGTTAAGACGGATTTGGAAAAACCCAATTAAACACACCGACACACTTTTTGCCATTCCCCTTCAATCCCCATCCCTGTCTCCCTTTGTTGGCAGCAACATGAAGTTCAGGGCTGGTCATGTGGGCATGTGTGTATGTGCCAGGATGGAGGGGCTTGAGAAAACCAGCTGTGGTGTCCAGATTGGGGAGGGATTATTTCCCAAATCTCCCCCATTTACCTCAGCTGCCTAACAAGCTCCTACCTAACCATGATAATTCAGTGATATTGTGACTTTGATTCCGTTGTTAATGACAAACCCACGCTGTTGACCAATCAAATGAGATTTTGTTGATGAGATTTATATAGATCCTTGTCTAGGTAAAGTACAACATGAGGATGCTTACTGAGCGGGTGTATTAGATAAAATCTTTATCAGACTAATAACCAGCATTGGATACATGGATGTAACTGATGGCTGTGTGATGCTAATTCAACTGCAGTAACATTTAGGTAGATGGTAAATATAAATATCACTAAGTTGCTGCTATTGGATATGATCACACCAGTGCCAAGGAAAAGTACCAGGCTTCTTTGGGAAAGTGAAACTCTTCATCTTCAACAGATTCCTGTGTGAAGTCATGAGGTCGGAGGCTGGACAGGATCGCTGAAACAATATTATTAGGTCACTGAGGGAAGAGGAGAAGGGTCAGATAATAAGACTCAATCCAGCAGAGTGAAAATGCATGGGAAGGAAAGTGCTGACGCCTCCCTCATTCTCGCTCATCCAATTCCCAGCACTTACTCTGTGCCACTGATATTCATGCCGAGCTGTCTGTCCACGGCCCACAAACTTTAACGTCCGCCGTCTCCACCGCCCCATCTATCACCCCGCTGTGGTGATGGACGAATGGAGAGCAGAGCAGAGAACATGGTGGTGGGTGGGGAGGGGGTGGTGGTAGAGACATAAGGGACAATATTGAAATTTCAGGTCAGAAAAGACAATTGTTGTATCCACTCGTGTGTGTCCCATTCACTTATTCAGAGCCACCTCATCCATGTACAATAAATATACGCACAAACATATGTGCATGGAGGCACACACACACACACACACACACACACACACACACACCAGAGCCTCCTATCACAAGCAATTCAATAAAGATACACAGAGCTCAGGCAATAACCTGATCCTGGTGAGAGATGTTATAGGCTTTGACAGGCGGGCTGAGCCACACAGCCCAGGCTGTTCTCCCAGTGTCACTAACAAAACAGAAGGATTAGAGGATGAAACTAAGCTAAATCTGGGCGAGCTAAAAATGACGGCAAAAACAAGAAACAAAATTGAATGGATCCAAAGCAGGCCTTTAACCAAAGCTATTAGGCAATAAAAGGCCACTTTGATAACAAAACCCTTGTGTTGTACTATTTATGTTCTGCTGTCCACAAACACACACATACACTGCCTATGCACACACACACACCCCCCACAAACACATCTTTGTACTTTTGTATCTTGAACCTCCATTGACTGGATATTTTCTTCTACCAGCCATGTTAACCATAACTCTCATTCCTACAGCTTTAACGACAGTGAACTCCCTCACAGTAGGGACAGTTGAATATTTTGCATTTCTTACCTAAGGAGAACTTTTTTTTATTACCGAAAGAGGTCAGGCTTTGCAGTTTTCAAAGGAGTGATTCAATGATTCAAATCCCATTTGCATTATTTGTGATTATTACAGAGTGAGGACGTCTGCTTCACCTCAAGCAAAGCTACTGTTAAGACTGGTTCTCAGTGCAGTACACATTATGTCTTGAACACACAATATGTCTTTTCGATATACATATATAGCATTGTCATCTAGTGGTCATTGTGGTCTAGCAGTTAGCCAGGTATTTTCTGCAAAATGCTGCAGTGCTGTGACTGTTGAGGTGAGATGAAATTTGCTGTTTTTAACACAAAGTGCGGCTGTGTTTGTTATTGTA